CCCAGTTATCAATTTTCTATTCAAAGAATTATATTATATTTATCATACCTTTTTAATTTAGGCTGTGATCTAAATATATTTAAAAAATTTCTAACTTAATAAAATTATCATGTAAAAAATTATTTTTATATTTCCCATTTTTATTAATATAAATAACTGCCCATTTCTTATTATAATTTGAAAAATAAATTAATATTGCTTACTTTTTTTTCTTAAAAATTTTACAACTTTATAATTTATTAAATTTTAATAATTTTAAAAAATTAATAAACTTTCGTAAACTCGAAAAAATTATTTAGGCCATTTTTTATTTCTACATTATTTAGGTCATAGCCATTTTCTCCATTGAAATAATAGTATAAATAATTATAGGGGCATTATTCCCTAAGTAGAAGAAAAGAACAAATAATGTAAGTGATAAAAGATCAACTTTATTATTACTTTCGTCACTTTTACCAATAATATATATAAATATTCAAGTAAAGATATTAATGGAGAAAATAAGAATTTAAATTTATTTAGTTTTTTATAATTTTAGGAATAATAAATCTATCATAAAGGGCGTTTAAAACAACGAAATTCATTAAATATGTTTATTGCCAATATATTTAAATATTTTAGTAATAAATATTAACAAAGAAAATAAGAATTAAAATTTTATTTAAATTTTTGTAATTATAGGAATAAATAAATTAATTATAGAGGGCGCTATTTTATAGGTAATTATAATATATTTTAAAGATAACAGCATATTTATATTATAAATAACCATTAATATGTCTATAAAATTATTATATACACTAGAATTATTTTAAAACATATTTTTCCCAATAAAAAGAAAATATATTATTATCTTTTAGGTATGGCCCTCTATAATTGCTTTTTTTATTCCTAAAATTATAAAAACTAAATAAAATTTTAATTCTTATTTTCTCCATTAATATTTTTTACTTAAATATTTAAATATATTGGTAATAAAAATATATTTAATGAGTTTTATCTTTTCAAACCTCCTTTATAATTTATTTTTCTATTCTTAAAATTATAAAAAAAACTAAATAAATATTGAATTCTCAATTTCCCCATTAATATTTTTACTTAAATATATAAATATATTGGTAATAAACACATTTCATGAGTTTCATCATTTTAAATAGGGCACTTTTCAATTTTTAGTTTTACCGGAAATACAACGACACTGAAGATATTTTTAAAATAATTTTATTTTCTTAAGAAGAATTTTAAGGGTTACAAAATGACATAAAATTTGTTAGAATAAAAATATTTGAGTATTTTAAAATTCGTTTAAAGAGAAAAAGACTCTCATTTAATTTTGAAGGCCCATAACTCGGGATATATTTGAACTAGGGCACTGAAATTGTATGAAGTATACAATCTATAACCTTTATGCCAATTTCATTCATTTTAAAAATGTTTGTCCTAATCACTGGTCCTTTTGCCATTAAATTATCTAAATATTAGTTATTTATATTTTTTTCAAGAAAGACGCCTTACCCTTTACGTAAACCTAAATATCCTCTTTTTTAGGCTATTTAGAGAAAGTTATATAGCCAGCAAAGGTTATCATTTAGAGATAAGAAGAACCGAGAGACGGTCTTGAAGCTTAGAATTTTCACCAATTTTGTTAAAATTCTAAGTGTTTTTTTTGTTTTAAGTGCATTTGCTTAAAATTATTTAAAATATTTATTAATTATCATCACTCTAAGTCATGAGGAGGGTAAATACCAGTGCAGATGCGCCATTTTCACAGCCAGGCTTAGGTCCCTGATTTTTTAAAATATAATATATTTACTTTTAATTTTTATAGATAATAATGGCGATTTAAAATATTCGGCCCGGCCTGGGTATTTTTTTTAGGCCCGGTCCTTGTACATAAGCTGGGCCTGCAGGCCTCTGATAATTTTTTAAATTTATCTCGATAAAGGTATTAAATGTAAGCTAACGAAACGATTTTCTAAGTGCTATTATAATTAATTATCCCCATTGGTTCGGTGGAGGGGTAGGGGTAAAAAATTTTCTAGCAAGAGTATAATGAAAGTTAATATAAAAAAGTAATTGGTATATTCTTGGTCAAGATGGGAGGAGATTAAAACCTCAAAAAATATCTCAATAAGAGTATTAAATCAAAGCTAATAAAAATATTTAATGAATACATCTCTTTAACTTCACATTAAGTTTTAAGGTTGTGGGGTGGGTTAAAATATATATAACATAATATTTTGACTTAAGCATCATATGAAATAAAATGATCTGTTCAGCATTTTATTTTTAAGTCTTGAAAAGGGGATAAAAATTCTAACAATATCTCAACATGTTTCTTAAGATTAGTTTTGTTAAACGCTCGATTTTTAAAAATGGCTAACTCAATAATTTAGCTGAAATATATTACGCAAACCTGGGGATTTTGCTCAGTAAAAATATAAAATCAAAAAAATTATAAAAGTTTCCTTTCTTTTTCTTTCTTCTATTATTACATTTTCGATTTTAACTAAAATTTAAATACCATCAATAATTATTTTATATAATTGTCATTTAATTTACTTACAATTTAAACATTTCAATTATCCTTACAAATTTTATATTCAAATTAACTGTTTTTTTAAATTATAATTAACTTTTCTTTTTCAATACACGTATTCGTCACATACGTAAAGTCTTTAATGGAAGCCAAAGCGCGTAAATTAACAGCTATGAACAACGAATTATCAACTTCGATGAGCGAATTACGAACCAAGGAAACTATTTCCACTACTTTGATCAAAGATTTGAAGTTGGAGATCGACAAACATCTTGAAGCAATATCAGAGCTGTACAGACGTTTGCAACGGCAAGAATTGGATTTCAAAGAGAGTATAAATTAAATATATATTATTTTTATTTTTTTTTACATTTTGAAGTCGAAGGTATAAAATTATGATTGACATTTTTAGGGGAGGTATAAAATAAAATCAATATTTATTAGAAACCCAAGAGTATGCATTGGAAGTTTCTGATCTTTTGGATAAAATAAATAATTACGAGTCAGAATTAGCCGATAAGAAAGAAATGATTGTGGGAAATGAAAGTGCATTAGACTTGTTGTTGGTGGAAATTCAAAATTTGATGGCCACAAATGTAAATTTTATTTATTTTAAAAAATCAAATATTATAACTTGTATTTTAACATTATTTTTCAATTATATCTGATAGATTTGGTATCTTTCCTTCTAATAAATTACTATGTGAGTTTCATTTTGATCAGGCTAGTGGTCAATATATAAAATGTTTTTAATATGATTTTGGCAGAGATGCCATATCAACCTGAAGGGGTTTTACTTTTTTTTAGTTAATAAGAATTAGTTTCATATTAAATATTTAAACCTAATTTATGGGGGAAAACACAGGAAGAAATGGGAAACCGTCTGCAGGTAAAAGATCAAGAAGAAATGGCATATTTAGCCAAATTAGAAGAATTGAAAGATAAAGAAATGCTCCAACTCGGAGAAATAAACACCCTGAAAAACGATATATCGATACTGAGTACAGACAAGGGAAAATATCATCAAGAAATGGAAAACAATCAATCTCATTTTCAAGGTATATTAACAAATTGCCTATTTTTTCCATGATGTTAACAACAGCGCTCTGGGCTTCACCTAATGAAAAAATTTTGGGCCCCCATATAAGGTAGGAGAGATGGCCTAAGTAAATGAATAATAATTCTTACAAATTTTGCAGAAGTGTTTAGCGTTGTTTTTTTTCTATAAACACATCATGAAGTAGTATTTTAATTTACCTGTTACCATTAAAATACACTATTTGAAATTAAACTAAAGCTAAGCGTTCCACGATTTTCTCACCGATCCGTCCTATATTTCCCGGTATTACTATAAAACCTATCTGGTATTTATAATGAATTTTATTTTCCATCTATCTTTGAACCAAGGTCATAAATATATCACTATGTTATAATAAAAAAATAATAATTTTCACGATTGATTAAGTGTATCTTGTTTTTTTATTCTCCAAAAGTTAATCATATTTAAAATATGGGCAATGTTTATAACTAAATGCATTATTGTTAAACGGCTCGATTTAACCTATTTTTAAAAAATGCTAGATTAAGAGCTATATTACCTAAACCTCAAAATTTTACCAATAGATATTTAACTATTTCTGTCATCTGTAAGCAAAAGTTTCAAACTTAGATAACTTTATTTGGGCTAAAATCTTGAGTTCCTTTTAGTAATATCAGAGACCTGCAGGCCCGGGTACATGGGCCAGGCCATATTTTAATTTTTTTTTAAAAATATCCAGGCCAGGCCGTATATTTTACAACCAAATATTTGAAATCGCCATTATTAGCTATAAGAAACAAAAATAAATAAAATATATTTTAAAAAAATCCGGGCCAGGCCAAAAATAATTTTTGAAAAAAAATATTATAAAATGATATATACAATCAGGAACACTAGCCTTACAATCTCAGGGGGTTCAAAAATTATTTTCAAAATTACCTTCTTAGTCAACATTATTTAAAATTATCTTTTTTTAGTGATATAAAAAAAATTTCAAAATTTTGAGATAGCTCGAGCCCCTGCGCTCCTTCCCCCTAGTGACGCCTACTGTATATAATCATAAAAATAATTATAAAACAATTAAAATATCATAGGTTTTTTGAAAAATTTTGGCCCGATCCATATTTTTTAAAAATTCTAAATATTGGATCCGATCCTATATTCAATCGCCACATCCCTAAATAAAATGGAAGCGCTTCAATTTGTAAGCACTATACGGTCATCTTTTATTTTCTTTTCATCAAATATTAATAATAGCTTCAATTATTTTAACGATTATTTTAAATTCAAGGTCCCTAAAAGGCATAAGGACCCGGATAATAAGTCACTAACTGCTGATGTTATTGTTACCCCACTATATTTTTTATATATAAACTTTCATCAATTCTATGATTTTGAATGATTTATATACCTACAGATACTATGCAATCATTAGAAGCACAAATGCTCTTACATAAAACGGATGCTGATTCTAAAGCAATAGAACGAGAAAATGAAATTAATAGGTATTTAAATCTGTATATATTATATCTGTTGATCTTTTATCGAGAAATATAATAAATTATTTTAACGGCATCTCATTTTCACTAAAAACCATAAATATGAGGTATTTTTTTACTGATCAAACCATTTAAAATTGATTTTTAAAAAGTTTTTTAACACAAAGTTGCGACTGGCATCCCTAAACTAGGCCTACAAAAATATAAATTGAATTAAATGATGGCACTATTCTTGATTCGAAATTATTCTTATTCGTATACAAATTAAATAATACTTTATTCCTATTTTTATGGATAATAAAACTTATTCAATTTGATTCGTCGAATATTCAATTCAAAAATTTGAATTTATAAAAGAAAAAAAAAGTATTATTATATATGGAAAGAAAGTTTTACAAGAAACATATTGAATACTTACTATTTGCCAATAATTTTGAATACGAATAATTCGATAGATACAAATAATTTTTTGTATTATTCAATTTGAATTTTCTAATCGAACAAATGGAGCGAACCGTTAAAAAAATGAACCTTTATAATTTTGAACCTTCAGACCAAATTGTTAAAAGGAGCTAACAGGACATATATAATTCTAAATCGATTTAATCCGTTTTGTTTTACATATAAATTATAATTTAAGGCCATATTTATTATACGAAAAGTTTTTTATATTTAACTCATTCTTTGGCTTATTCATTTTTCTAGTCATACTGAATACCTTTTTTTTGGAATCGTGAAGATATAGAATTTTACCTTTTTCTGTTAATATATATATTAGAAAATTTTCTAAATCTGAAAACCCTTTATATTATTTCTGAAACCGTAACCGAACCTGAATCTTGTTTATTTTTTGCCCCGGAATTGAAACCTCTATAGATAACAGTTGATTCAGGGTTTTAACCTAACCTAAACCAACTGACACGATATCTGCCTATACACAATACCGTTATCAAAAAATAATAAATCAGTATTGATACATCTGATAACGATTTTTAAATTATCATCAAGATTGCATGAAGAGTTGATTAATGCAGATAATAGGGCTCTATGCAATCGCCAGGAGATGGAGCGAGAAATCGAAGTCCTCAAAATGGAGAATAGCAAAGTTGAATTATATTAATATAATATTTAAAAATTGAATACGCTAAATCTAATTTCTGCATTTCCTTCCACATTTTAAGCAGCACCCCCCCTTATTCCCCACTAATATTCAGTCAATTTATATAATTATCTTAAAAATATTTCCGGCAATATGCTTTAAAGGTCAGCAATGGACCCGTTTAGCCGTTTATTCTCCGAGCGGGCATGGGCTGCTTTTGAATATTTTTATAATTGGGCGGGTGTCTGGCAGGTTAAAAAATATTTTTAAAACAATGAGCATGTGAATTTAAATATTTGGGCGAAATGAGCAGAACAAACTTCTATTTATTAAAAATCGTTTTTTTATATCCCTCAGCACTTGTATTTAGGAAGTTTTATAGGATATTATCTTATATTCAAATCACATAGCCTCGAGTATTGACTGGAAAGAAAATCAGGCAATACATATACTTAGCCAATGTGTATTAACTGAAATAACCAGGCTATTAGAGTTCTGTAATATCCGGGATTTAACCAACAAGCCTGCCCAAGTTTCTTTTTATGGCCATGATCTAATTTGAATTTTATATTGGGCGTGTTGTGTTAAAAAAATGAGTCTCAGGCATGATTTTTTTTATTCCCAGCGAGACACGTTATGAATAAGAAATTAGGCCCTCGCTCATCTCTAATAACACCTAATATTTTAAATTATGTAATAAACTATTTATTGACAAAATTGCATAACTTTTCTAATCATATTTTTTTATACTTTAGCTTTCAAGTCAAATACTCAAATTGCAGCTGCAAGACCAGGATCGCAAAATAGTTGATATTAGAGGTAATATGCATTTTAATATTTATTTTTTCAGTAGCAAAATTTATCATGTTCTTGATTTATTTCATTAACCAGTGAACTGTATTCAGCCTGAAACCTGCCACAAAATGTATATTTTAAAGGTGCGGGTCGGGCTTCAAAATAAAATTATATAACGTTTCTTCTAGTCTGGGACTATTACTTGTATTGATTTCTCAGCTAAATCAAGCAATTTACAATTTGCCCGGATCCAGACCGAAACCTTAAAAAAACAAATAATCTGACTTTCAAAATACAATTTTCACGTCTATAGTCACTAACACCTTTCCAATTGACTAAACACCTCGAAAAAAAATAATTTTAACACCCGAAATCCAAATGAGGGGATCTTTAGAGATATGTCTATCTAAATTCCTAGGTATCCACTCTTACCTTGGATAACTCCACAAATTTTACAAATTACAAATAAAAATTATTTAAAAATCAGCGTGGGCTAAATAAGGATTTTTTTGAAACTTTCGCCGGGATTTAAAATAAATAATACTCCAAGATGTTTATTACAATTAGAGGTGCACTGATACCACTTTCTGGAGATAAGGCCTATATTATATTGATAATGGCTGATTACTGATCCGACATCGTTAATATTCGTTATATACAATTTTTTTGTACAAAGTCATTTAAAGTATGCTATTATCGAATTTTAAATAACCTATTATTTTAGGCCTATTTATGCAGTTATATTCATCAATATATAAATATTGATAAATCATTTATTTATTTAGTTAAAATCATTTTAATCTTTATTTTACAAAAGTCTTTATCATGCAGAAAGTTGTATCCCTCTATTCATGATCAATGTAAATCGTTATTTTTTTAAAAATTATTTTAAGCATAAACATCATTAATAGATTATTTATTTTATTTTTTAGCATATTTTAAATTATTTAGTTCATTTTTAAAAAATTTATTACCTCGATTATAAAATAAGGTTCTTAACTTATGTTCCTCAATAAAATTAAATATCAATGCTGTATAATTTTAAGATTAAGACGCCATTTAGATAGGAAAATTTAATATCGGCCAATAACCATTATTCAAGAAGAGAGGAATAATCAGTCTATTTCAATAAAAATTTGGGACATCCCTAATTATAATGATTATTTTGAAACATTAGAAAGAGTTATAAAATTTCCAATCATTACACGTATTCCCAGAGTATAGTTTTGCACCAAATTGTTTAGTTTTACTTCAATTATTTATTCTGATTTTAAAGGTATATTTGGATTATATTTAAATTATTTGACATTACCTTGATTGACTAGTGCCTCTCGCTTTTATTATTATGGCCTGCTCAGATATTAATTATCTTTTCCGTGCTTGTATTTAGGCTTACTTTTCCCCTTCCGCTATGACACCACTTAAGTGTACATTGTCATATTGACGTTTTAGATGAAATATCTTGTTTTTTTAGATCCAAAAGCGAGCGATAAAACTCCACAGACCACTTTACCAAAGTTAGATATCCAGCCCAAAGCCAGTGAAAATAATATGTTGAGCAATAACAAGATACCGATTAAATTTTTCATCGAAAATACTCCAATCGATACTAAGCGACAAAAAATCGAGTATATATATTCCACTTATAACGTATATTTTCCCCATTTTTTGATAAGAAATATCCCACTTCAAGTTTTCGACTATGTCTGTTATATATATACCCCATTCGCCCATATAAGAAATAAATGGAAAGAAAAGAAAAAACTTTCTCTGCTGAGATTTGAACCAGGGTAAGAAACATCGGGAAACTTAAGATATATTAACCTAGCCTCTTACCAGTAGGATGCTTTTAAATTTTCATAAAAAATCGAATATTTATTTTAAAAATCTCGCTATAGCGTAATGTAATATTATTCATTATAACAGAGAAAAACTCTTTTATATCCCATGAATTTATTGTCTTTCTGATAAATTGCTTCCAATAATTCCACTAAATCCAAAAATAAGGAGATTAGGGTGGGAAGGCAGCCGGATTAAGAAATTCACCAATTTAAAATTCTTATTAATTTAGCTTATTTACAAATTGTTTTTCAAAATAATAATTTATATTTTAGGTATAAAAATCGCAGCATCAAACTGGATAAGGAGTTACAGCCAAAATTCCTATCCTCCTGTTATTCCACAAGTAAATTTGTAAAGTTTTAAGGCTGTATCATAGGTGTTCTTATTCAAAATAACAATTAATATAAAAAAATCACACGAATGCATAGGCAGGATTTACATTAAAGTTCTGCAGTGAGCGGGCTATTAACCAACACCAACTCACCCATTTTTTCTAGAAAAAAATTCCCACGCACTAATTTTTTTTTATTCTGCCCACCCAATTTTTAAATTTTTTAGTCAAGCCGTTGCAAACCTCCAGTTCACACTCCATAATATATGCCTTTTTACGTTTTCAGATTTATAGCAATCAGAGACCTGCAGAAGTACTATTTGTATGGCCCGGCCTGGATTTAAAAAATAAAAATTTCGGCCTGGCCCAGATTATTTATATGGCTCGGCCCTTAAAAAAATTTTTTAGGCCCAACTTGGGTACATTTAAAAAAATTGAAATACGTGCAGGTCTTAGCAATATTCGTTTCATTTAAATGTGTTTCAATTAGTGTTGTAAACGAACGCGTTCGTGAACTAAGTTAGTTTTTTTGAAAAAAATGATGAACGGCGTGTTCCTTTTATTTTTGACGAACTTTGAACGTGAACGCGTTCCCTTTTTATGACGAACGTGTTCGAATTTAACGTTCGCTCAATTTTAAAAATACTTTTTATTTTTATATATTTGAAAAATTTAATATTTTCGAATTTTAAATGTATTATTTATATTTTTTAATAGGCTGCGTATTTCCTTTTCACATTTCAATTTTTTTAACACATAGTTTATTAATTTGAATATTATTGTTTATATTTTAATTAAATAGATTAGCATAAGCATGGATATTATTATTCAATCCATCATCTGATTCTGAAAATTCAAAATCAGATGAATTATCAACCATGGCCAAATATGATAAATGTTTTACAGTAACATCCTATAATGAAGGAACTAATTCAATGCTTATCAAGTGTAAAATGTGCCAAAAAGTATTATATTGTCACAGGTTCCAATTTAAAACGACATTTGATTGTAATATTAATTATTTTATATAATATAATATAACAAAGTAAAATCAGAAGAAAAAATTCATTTGGGATATTTGACCCTAACAATAACGATAGTTATTTTAAAATTAAAAATAATTAGTGGCCTCTAATATGGTCAACCATTAATAGACGCCGTATTAAATGGGATTAATAAAAGGTATTAAACCTATCACTCTCAATTAATTACATATATATTTTTTTAAAGATTTGAACATATATATGAAGATCAATATGTTCTTTCTGCAATTATACATCCAGTATTCAAGCTTCAATGGCCATGGATAGAACTTCCACAGAACGAACCTATTAAAAATAAACTTATAGCGTTATTTTAAAAAAATGCTTTGAAAACCCTAGAAATGATAATGCAAGAATTGTTAATTTCGAGATATCATTTTTTTTGTCGAGGAAGTAGAGAATGGATTGGAGGAGGATAACTTATCTCAATTCTTTGTTGCAAATAACAAAACAATAAATGTTTTTAATAAATTCCCCACGTTAAAAGAGTTATTTATTAAGAATAATACCGCTTCACCTCATCTACCCTTGAGCGCGTTTTTAGTATAGCTAATGCCGTATTAACTGCCAAGCGTTCTTGTCTATTAGATGAAAATTTTGAAAAATATTGTTATTAAAATTTAATGAGAAAAATTTTTTATAAATAAAAATATCTTTTTATATGATATATTAGCTTGATTTATAATTATATTATCAAAATAAAATTATATCATTTTTTAACATGGCTAATATTGTGTTAATAAATATAAAACATTTATTTATATTAGAAAATTAAAAAAAAAATTTATCATAATTTGAACGGTTCATGAACGTGAACGCGTTCCTTTTTTTTGAACGTGAACGCGTTCGATTTTTTTAGAAATGTTTACACCACTAGTTTCAATACAAAACATACGCATCATTATGGCTTTCCGTGTAAATAAGTTATATGAAAACTTTTTTAAAATAAACCAGAGTTTCATTTACTTATAAAAAATTTTATATGGGGAATCAAAATGGTGTATCACCATCTGATTTGTATTTAAACCCGTTTCAAAATGCATTTTAATGAATGAATCTTTGGCCGGTAATTATTATGAGTCATTGATTAGAACTTATAACATGATTTTTTTTCATTTGGGCCAGATTTAGACTTCAGGAATATCTTTCATATACCCCCCCCTTGCCACGCTTATAATCTTTTCCTTGGGAAATTTTTTTTGTACTCATATCCATTTTAAAAATAACGAAGTTGGAATCAGATCGGACAAGGATCCTTGATATAAATAAAATATTTGTCTCTTGCAATGCAATATATTTATAAAATGATATAATTCGTTCATTATTCAAATATGATCGATGAAATGATCTCAAATTGTTTATTATCAATAATTATAATAAAATGTAAAACTACATGGTATCAATTATATCTTCTCGAAGAAAAATTAAAATATTTGTTTTAATCATATTGGAGTTTCTAATTCGTCTATATTACGAATCCCTACGTTTTATTCGGAATATTTTTTTTATAATTTGGCTAGTCATTTTAATAGATATATTTTTTATATTAACATAGATCAAATCTTAAGCTTCCAAAAAATTTAATTTAACTTTAAGGATAATTTTTTTTCGAACGGGAAATGAGAATATGAGGAGTAAATAATGTCTTTTCAGCTGATTTATAAAAAAAAGCTAATATTATTTACGAGATTGAACAATTAAGAATTTTATTTCCAATTGATTACTTTCTTGGAATCATTAAACAATAGATATAAATGAATCTTTAAAATCTGATCGATTTTATTATTTTCTTTAAAATGTCAATATTGGCATCAATCCACTCTTTTCTACAAAATGTCAATAAATTTTTAAGCGATAACGCTTAATATTTCTTTTTGATTGACAATAAAATCATTAATTATATAAAAATTTTATATTAGTAAAATTATCTATACGCCAGATGTATGTGTTTGCTTTGGAAAAAATTTGTTACTGTAGTTTTATTTTTAGTTGAAAACAAAAGAGTTCAATTTTCTTTCAAACCCATTTATTATTTAGAGATGTTTTATTAATGTTTCTTCGAAGTTTGTGGGTTTGAAATAATTGAATAAGTATTTTTGATTCGCCTTTAATCACAGTTTAACCCAAATTTTAGGATTTTCACGGAAAAGTATTTTTAAAGATTTATCAAGACTGAAATATAGTTTTAAAAAAAGTATCTTTTTAAATCAACAATATTTTATTTAAAAGGATATCTATTTTAACACATTTTTGGATCATGTTCTTAGAAATATATTTTTAATATTAAATTGAAAATTTTTAACTGGATTTTTTAAACTTTTTTATCAACTGGAAAAGATCTCGAATCTCTACCTACGATAAATATAATCAAAATAAATTAAAATCGACTATCTAATATTCAATACGGAAAAGTTTTTTTTATTCCAAATGTTAATTGTGTTCAATTGACATAATTTATTGTAATGTTAATTTAAATTTGTGATCAGTTGAAATAATTTATTTTAATGTTAATTGAGAAATCAAATAATAATAATAATAATATGTATAACAATCAACTGGTATATATAATAAAACATTTCAATAGATATTCAAATTAATACTCAATTAACATTAAAATAAATTATTTCAACTGATCACAAATTTAAATTAACATTACAATAAATTATGTTAATTGAACACAATTAACATTCCCCTCTTCGACAAAGTATCAAGTTGCTGCTCGGTGAGCGCATAAGTCTATGTTTGAGTCGCGTGAGTCCATACGTTTTTGTAGGTTTGATAAAATTGTTGTACGTTATCATTATCATAAGGAATAATTGATCAAATACGGAATAAAATTTTAAATTTGGAAAAAAAGAATTTGGAATAAAAATTTTGGAATATGGAATGATAAATATGTAGAATTTCGTAAGAATGATAAATCAAAAAGATTATTATATAATATTTTGCGATTTGGAATAAAAATTTTGGAATATGGAATGATAAATATGTAGAATTCCGTAAGAATGATAAATCAAAAAAGATTATTATATAATATTTCGCGTTTTTTCAAATTTTGCGTTTTATATATTTTATTTTAATAATTTAAGTTGCGTTTTAATATTTTATTTTAATAATTTAAGTTATAAAATCTTTTAAATAAGAAGGTTTTTGTTTAATTCTTGATGGTCTGAAAGGTATCTTACTATTTTTACTTATGTCTACACTTCCCTCTTTACAAGAATTCTTAGAGTCACTTTCATAATATTTAAATCTATTATAACATTCCCTTTTTCGTAACTGGTCTATATGTCTCCTTACTACACCTTTATCCGTATTAACTTGGAACATGGTGTCACTCTTTGTGCGTGATGTTGCCTTTGCACCACGTGTCATCACTCTGTTTCTTGTACCAAACGAAGTCTCCTATATTAAAGGTTCGATTTCTCGGTAGCGATATGTTGACTTTATCAATTTTATCCTCCAATGGTTTCAATAAGTCTCACTTTATTCTAATATCGCGGTTAAACACTCCTTTGGATGGTATGACACCTGTAGTATCATTCGGTGTGTTTCTGTAGTTAAACAAGAATCTGTCCAGTGCATCTAAGTCAATTTTTATGTTTCTTTTCATGTGAGCTTTGAATGTTCTCACCATACGTTCAAATTTAAAATTCAAAAAATAACTTGTTTCCTTCATGGTGCCCCGGCACGTTTTTGTAAAAATAAAATAATATATATAAAATTTGCCTTAAATTAAAAAAAGTAAAAATTAAATTAAATTCGAAGGACATGACTTGTTTTTTTTTAAAAAAAATATATAGTCAAATATTATTCTGATATATACATATACAAAAGGTAAAAAAAAAAATTTTTTTTTAATGTTTGAATTTAAGGCGATTAATTTGCCGAACACTATTTTCATCGCACATATGCTCGTGATATTGTGGTTGTGATGCTTCGCAATTATATGTTAATGGATGGGAGACC